TGGGGGATGAGCTGCTCCGGGGAAGCTGAGGGCAGAGCCCACTGGGTGTGTGGAGCCCAGTGGGGCAGGGTGAGCGTGTTGGAGAGGCAGGAGGGACTGAGCAGGGGTGAGGAGGAGCAGTGGGAAAGGTCCTTAGCACATCCTGAAGTGCGTCCGAGGAGGGGCCCTGGCTGCTTCGGGGCTCATGGTGGTTCATCAGGCTGTATGTAGCTCCAAGCGCAGCAGTTTAGAGCCTCCAGCAGGCAGGTCTGAAGGGGCTGGGAAGATGCACAGCCTTATAAACTGCAGGGTCACCATGAGTAGGGTCAACTTGATGGCAGCGGTTTGATTTGGGTCAGCTTGAGGCAATTACGGAGGCTTAGCTGGTACACGGCAGGCCACGTCCACCTAGTGGCCTTGGAAGACAAGCCTGAAGACTAACTGCTGAAAAACTAGCTCCAGAAGAGCACGAAGCCCTGCTCTGGTCAGGGACAGATGTCCAGGCGAGTGAGCAGCCCCAGGCCGTGGGGCAGTATGGGGACATCAGGCAGGGAAACCACACCACGGTTAGTTTCCCTCAGCCTTCAGAAAGATGGCTCTGGTCACCTCTGGAGGATGGAAGCGGGGTGACTGGGAGATGGCGTCTAAAGGCATGAATGGCAGGTGACAGAACTTTGTGACAGTGAGGCATGAATGCACAGAGGAAGGGGCAGTAGGGGTGGGAGCCGCCTGGCCCTGTGGACACAGGACGTAGCCCAGAGTTGCGGAGCTCAGAGGAGCATTTCTGAAGCTATGAGGTCAAGGCTGAGCTCCCCAGAGAAGTGAACTGGGAGAGCAAAGAAGGGGCTGTGGTAGAATTCTGAGGAGTCCCAGTCATGGGGAGTGTGGTTTAGGGAGCTGGAAGCCTGGACCGATCACAGAAACTATGGCGTGGGCACCGACAGCTGGGGCTGAGTTCAGATGATAGCACTGCCTGAGAAAAGCCACAGCAGGCCTAAGCAGAGGAAGGAACCGACCCGGGGGAGCTGCGGGAGGAGCAGCGGGAGGAGGCGGCGCCAGCACACAAATGGGCTCTCAGGTGGGACGACCAGAAGTGAGCCGGCATCCGGGAACATTCGGGAGTTGCATTGTCTGACCCCAGCCTGACTTAACATCTCAGAAAATGTCACATAAAAACCCCGGCTTCTCGGCTTGGAAAGAGGGGAGATGTGGGTCCGGGGCTGGGCTGGCTGGAGCAGCAGCCCAAGGCTGGAGGACAAATGGCATTATTCTCTAGCTGCCTGCCTGGGGCAGAGCTGTGATTCCAGCTTAAAAAGTCATCTCAGACCTTTGACCTCAAACGATGTTTCTGTGGACTCTGCTGGTGTTCCTCATGCAAGAGCTTGCTGCTTTCCAAGTGGACAGCACTTGGGAGAAAATGTTCCACGACCTTCTGACGACATTCCAGAATCTTCTCTGCAAGATGCCTCTTTCCTTCCACCGAAAGCCCCTGGGGGTCAAGCTGGTGTATCACAGGAAGCGGAGCCCCTCACAGCAGCTTCCAGAGCGGCAGTAGAGATGGTCGAGATGGCTGGGTTCAGAAGTTCACTGCCATAACCACACAGAACCCCCAGCCACACTGACAGTTAGGGGAGGGGGGCTATGAGGGAAGGCACAGGTGACAATACAGGAAGTAATAGGGACAACTCAGGAGATCAGGTACCCGCTAGGATTGAACCTTGGCTCTCAGCAGCAGCCCTTGCAAGTGTGACAAAGCCCTTTGACTCCCCCAGTAAGCACCCAGAGGCACACCCCTCAAACAGGAGCGGCTCAGCTCCCACTCCAGCAGCGGCCACACTTGCATGTGTGTGCACGTCTTTGAGTGCAAGTCTTTGTGTGCATGTCTCATGACTCCCACTGTGCCACCTCACACCTGTCTCCTGGTTCCGGCCATCGCATGCTCTGCTGCCTACAGGGTCCCAACTCATTCTGGGTCCCGGGTCTAGGAGGTTCTCAGTAGAAACCCCAGATTCAAAGGACGCATTCCACTCCCAGCTCTTCTTGATGGTAGAGAGGTCCCCCTAAAACTCCTGGGACTGGATTCCTTTAACCCAGCAGGATGGCGTTAGCAAAACTGCCCAATCTCCGTGGTAGGTCATAAGCATCTCATTTGCATAGTTCAGCAGTTCCAACCAGTGGGTCGTGACCCCTTTGGGGGTCGAATTCGTCTGTCACAGGGGTCGCCTATTCATAACAGTAGCAAAATTACAGTTATGGAGTAGCAATGAAAATAATTTTATGGTTGGGGGGTTACCACGAGGAACTGTATGAAAGGGTCGTGGCATTAGGAAGGTTGAGAACCACTGCCATAGTCCCATCTCATGGGAACTATAAGATCACGCATGGCCAGATGGCCACACATTAGAGACCCGCCGCCATAGGTGGGCACCCCAGTATTACCCAGGCACAGGCATCAGTGTGGAAACGCTATGAAAAGTCCACACACAGACATGGATAAATTCTTGGAAAAACAAACCCTACCTAGACTATCCTCGGTGGACGTCAAGAATCTCAATAGACC